AAATTATATTGAATATTTTTGTTTTCATACAAATGTTACAATTTTTCGTAGAAAATGTTCTAGTTATAGAAAGAAACAAAATCGAAAGTTTTAAAATTGTATCATGAATGTACATTTTTCTTTTTCAAATCTTTGTAGAAAGCTATAGTAAAATTTTGTGCTGTAAAATAAATGATAACATTGTTAAGTTGACACACAAAACTTTTTTCTAATTTTCCAAACAATATTAAAACATAAAGTCATAAAGCATACATGCAAACATGTAAAGCAATGTCTAAACAACGTGCATTAAACCCTCCAGAATATGTGTGTGGCCATAAAAGATGCATAACAAAATCTGCTGGTGCAATTTGTTCACAAGTTAAAACACTCAGTTGGAACTTCCTTTCCACAATTTCAGAACCAAATATGTTTTGGCTGACATGATTTTATGACATGTGAACGATTAAACACACATTTTAAGATTTTTTCTAGTATTTGGTGACAAAAATATTTTTTATCTACAAAAAAAAAATTACACACAATTCCCTAGACAATCACTATCTGGTTCAATGATATTAGCCAGTGAAAACTGCGATGTCAACAATTTCTTAAAATGTCACATAAACATCACAATAGCGGGTTGAATAAATAAATCAGTTCTATGGAATCCCGAAGTCCTTCCTAATTATTCTATATATTTAACCACTGCAAAAATTGATAATTCTATTCATTAAGGCATTTAGACATACTTAGATCATGATGATGGCTTAATTATTTAGACAGGGCCTGTCCTTATCATCCTATTCATTTAAACAGTGTCATTACTTAGATAATTTATTCAGACATTGCTGTCCTAATCCTATGCGTTCAAACAGCGGCCTTCTTAAACAGCTAATTCATTTGGACAATGCCTGTCCTAATCATCATATTCATTTAAACAGTGTCTTTACTTATCAGTTAATTAATTTTGACAGTGCCTGTCCTAATCATTCTATTCACTAAAAAGTGCCCATCCTAATTCCAACCAGTACTACTATATTTATACATTCAGCCACTTTAAACCAATGCAACTACATTATTCAGAGACAATACCCAAAATTAAAACTGTGTGTTACAAATACCTATTTTTCCAACTGAAAATATCATTTTCATTTAATTAATACTTTTAGCTCATTTACATTGTTGATCAAAATATTTGGCTAATTTCAATAGAAATTAAAACATTCAGTTCATTTTTTGTTGAAATTACACCATGTTACTAAAGTTTGCAAGACTCAATATTGAAAGTAATCTGAGAAAAATGTAATACAGACATAGGATGAAGAAAGGTTGTCAAGGATATCTAAGGTGAATACAAATTTACAAGAAAAAAACAACTAATATAAAACTCAATAGGAAGGATATATAGTCTATGGATTTATATTTAAAAACATACAATATATCACAAAACTGATAAAAATAAGTTGTACTCAGATATGATTGTTGCACTTTTAACTCTTTTACAAAGCATGAAAAAATGGATCCCCATCCAAGCTTTAGTGCAGGATGGATGTCATAATTTGAGGAAAGCCAAAAGCTGAGCATGTGCAGTTAGCATTCCATCTTGGGTGTATGTTAAACATTGCAATGATTTAAATTACACGCCATATAATTGTACATGCACTGAGGTAACACGTGATAATAACGGAAAGCAGCATGACAAAATCACTTTTTCAATTTTCCGGCATGGAGTAAATGTCATAAAATTTTATTATTATATATATTATATTATATCTGACACTAACCCAAAACATTCAAGTTTAAAAAAAAACCATAAAAATGTTTCAAAATTGATTCTAATTAACAAAGATAGTAACAGATTATTTCAACTTTCAAAGCAAACATAAAAACACAACTGCAACTTCACCATGACCTCTACTTACAAACAAAAATGTGCTGGTCCATAAAATTTCACTTCAGATCATAACAACAACAACTACAGAAACTTGTCATTAATGAACTAATAACAACATGTAAATATTAATTTCAAACAAACCATAATGATTTCTTAAGGTATTAATTCCACAGAAATGAAAAAAACACATATTTTATAACTCTCTGTATCAGACAGCCAGTCTCCAAACTATATTAGCATAAATAACACCTTCAGTGGCACAACACCATATTGTCTCAACACTGAATGAATATTCATAATACATGTATATGAAAAATTACCAAATAACCAAACCCATGTAAGCTATTTGGGAGGGTTTAGTCTAAACTCACACAGACAATTTAAAGGTCATATGGCAACTTTCAAGCTTAAATGATGGAGGAAGACCTCAGGTGTCCCTTCATACATTTATTTCAGGCACAAGCAGGAACCTGTTGTGAATAAAACCTTTCAATAGAAATCTTCCTCACATTAAAGAATTCATAGGTCTCAGTGGAAATTGAACCCAAAGAGGTGAGGCTTGTTTTGAATTCAGCAAACTTATCTAATTGGCCATGGAGGCACTGAGCTATTGATGGGGAGAAATATCTTAAATACAAAATACATAACAAACAACAGTAACAACAAAGATAAAAAGCCTAGTCATGCAATTAATAAGCTATGCACATGCAATAATTACATAGGTTAGTAATTTAAAACCTTACCCGAAATTTTCTGAAAGTCTTTGGGGCCAAATATAGGAAGTCCTCTTCCTACAAAAATGGAAGGCAGAGAAAATGGGGCCAGATTTGTATCATTAGTACTATCCCCCTTTTATCTTGTAAATATCTATTATATTATAATTTCATTTACTGGTTATATATACCCTGCAAGAAATTAATTCATTCACTTTTAGTTACTTTGTAAATTTATGTCACTGTTGAAATATAAAAATAATGAAAGAATACAATTGTGCAGCTCTAAATTATTCTATAGAAAAAATATATTATTGATGACTTAAAGACAAAATATCTGTCATTCAGGAGCTACATATTTCACTGAAAGTTTCAATTATCAGGCAACAAATACACTAATCAAATAACATACACGTAATTCACAATATAATTGTTCTTATGCACCAGTCAGTTGTAACCTAGCCAACCCAAATCCCACCACCTTCAGAGGAGTATAGCAATTAGCGAAGAATTTGACTTTTTGATGATCAAACTCCTTGTTAATGTCCCATCCTGTAACAACAGTCTGATAAGTAGAATTCTCTTTAAATCACTTTCAGCTATTTTCGTGCCGAAATTGCAATGACCCGGAAATGTGGGACATACCTTCAGCTATTTGGTGCCAAAATTGCATTGACCCAGAAATGTGGGACAAGACCGGAGATAAAAAGTTAGCTATTTCAGTTAGTATTCCCCATGCAGTACTTTCTCATGGGTGAGGGGCAGGGCTTACATTTGACTTGTGCATTATGCTGATATAAGTACTCTTGTTTTTTCTTTAGGAGATATGAAAACAAAAATACATCAAAAATATGACTAACAGTACTGAAAATATCAAGTGATTCAACACTTGCCCTGCTGAATTTGTAATATCTACATTGTCCTGCTTTGAATTCAGGACAGTCCTTTAGTTGTTCAAGGGATTTCAGTAACAAACACTAAACTTAATTCTTAACCTGCTGAATTTGTGTAATGGATTTGCCCTGCTTTGAATTTGAAACAGTCCATTCAAAGTTTAAGGGATTTTAATATCTAACATTCACCATACTATAACCCGGGTTTGCACCAGTGCAACCCGGCCAAAAATTGAGCTACCAACAGTATAAAGAGTCTTGTAAGACTGCATGGCTATATAGGCTGGCCTGTTGCTCTTTTCTCTAGACAATTAAGTAACTTTATCAACATATGGTCAGATGTTCAGACTGGCCCAGCTATGTCATTGGTGGCTAAAACAAGGTATCACTGCCAGCATTGAAAAGGTATTTTAAAAACATATGACTGTACAAAACTTCAATAAAGAATTTTTTTAAATAAATGCATGTAATGTATGTAATACAGACATAATATCTGGAAATGTATAATGTAAGATGCACCACTATTCACATGACATTATTTAAAGGCAATAATGTAAAATTGTATTTTTGCATTGACCATCTCTAATCCATAACCCTTAATTGTACATAAAATACATAATAAAACCTCAAAGATGTCTATCCACTTTATACACCTTTGATAAACTAGTGGACTATATTTTTCTCAGATAATCATAAAATTCAAATCTTTGACTTTTCATTTATAATTTAAAAAAAAAAAAACAAAAAACCCAACAACCCCAAAACAACAAAATAAAGTATAAGGATATTCCCTTATGAGAATTTCTTAGGGTTTTCCTATTAAATTATAGTACTATCTTAGTGGAAGCCTTCACAAAAATACACGTAAATACAGGGAATAACAAGAGCACCCCATGTAGTGTTAACGCTCGTCTGTTAAAACTTCTGAGTTATAAAGGGGTATAACTCCAAGAAAAACTGCTTGCAAAATTATGCCTCTTGTCTAACAACTGCACCATGCTATAATAAGCAAGTATTCTAAGTTTCATGTTGATAAATTTTGAAATGTTTCAATAATGGGCTACTTTAAAGTTTTTTGCACAACGACGCCTTGGTGATCATAAATAGCTCGACTTTTTCTAAAAATGTAAATGTATGAAAATCAACAAACATATAACAACCATTGAACAAAAATACCTTAACAATATAAAACATCATTCAAACACTAACAGTATAATCATTAAATGCTTATAATTATAACTTGTGTAAAAAAACAAATGCATCACATACTTTGAATAGAATAAATGGCAGATAAGAATATGGACTAGTATATATATATAGTATCGCTACATGAAAGATCACATAAAAATGATGAACAACGTTTACAAATAGATATTCTAATACAACAAACATCAACATGTAATAAGAAATGTACTTGGTACAAAATTTCTAGTTGAAATACTTCAAATTCATAGGTATATAAAGGTACATGTAAATGTACATACAAAAACTTTAAAAGGAAGACATAAACTTGCCCTGTTAAATTTTGCTGTTTATTAAAGACATGCATTTTACTGAAGAATTACAAATACAATAACCAGCTGGGTTATTCTACTTTTTAAGCAGTAAAAAGGTTTAAGATAAACAAAATGATCTATTCTATAAGACGGCTGTGTTATATTTGACAATTCTCAGCAATTAAAATGTTATTTAAATCTTAAGCATTTGGCTATATCACACAGTAAATTTTGGCAGAATATTAGCGGCAGATTTTACTCTTCTATCGAGGAGTTTTACCTGACTGTTGGCACTGTAAGAACTGGTACCCGTTCCTGTTGAATTAATATCAAAAGACTGTATCCCTGATTGTATTTTTACCATGTCCTCTGTTAGTAAATCAGGATAGATAAACCCATCTGAATCTTTTTTAATAGGACTCAGAGGAGGCTGTGCTTGATTCATAAATCGTGACTTTGTGCATACTTGATTATTCTGAAATTCAGAATCACTTTCAATGTGCTTTTGTAAAGAAAAAGAAGAATGTAAAGAGTTTGAAGTCTGTGACTGTGACGATTGTGAAAAACTTTCAGAGGGAGTGTAATTTGGGGCGTTTTGTTGATTTTCGGAACTTGCCTGTGTTTTGACATCTAGTTCAGTCAAAGGTGTAGAAGGAATTCTTGCTAGTCCGATAGCACTGCTAGATAAAGGGCGTAAACTTATATTACTTCCGAGACCAGAACTAGGATTTCTACTCCTAGAGTTGAGCGAACTTGATGGCAAACTAAGCACCGACTGGACAGAAGCTCGACTCACACATCGATATGAGGTCTGCACACAATCCTTCTCCCAGTCTATATTTCGTTTTGGCACATCTGGTTTTGTATTTTCTATTTTACTTTCTTTATTCTGTTCCTCTTTCACTTTCTCTTCTTTTGATTTTTCTGAATCTGTTCCGAGAGCTTTGTAATAGTCAATGCTGAACTTTTCATTTCCTTCATTTTCCTTATCCATATTATCTAATTGCTTTTTCATAGTCTCATAAAAAATATCGCCACCTGAACTTTCCCTATTCTCAGAGGCTTTATAATTCTTAAAGAAGAATCCTTCTTCTTCAAACTCAGACCCAACATCATCATCATCATCATCATCATTATCATTATCTGAACCCCCCTGCCCACTTGTGCTTTCATTCACACCATTCCCTAAACCCTTAGTGGTACACAAACTGCCCTTTCTCCCTTTCTTTCTCACCTTTTTGGTTCCCCCGGCCACTCCTATTCTTCTACCGCGCTTTAACCTCCGTATATAGGCCATAGGTGCCTTGTATTTAGCATGCTCTAAATGCAAGCCATTCATGTGAGCAATTTGTTTGAGACTCTTCTTGTACTTTTCCTGGTTCCTCATGAACGCTGGCATCTGTATACAGTTTAAACGTGCCAGCTTTTTTACGCGAGGTATTTCATCATAGCATATTTTACCACTCATAAGCACTCTGAAGTCAATGCTATCAACATTTCTGAGAATTTCAACAGCACCTACAAAAAAAATGTAAAATTTAAGTCTATATTATAAAATCATAGTCTATGTATAGTAGGATACAAGTACATGTACATGTAATCAAAAGAAAGAATCCCATCTTATAGTAGGATTATCTTATAGTAAGATTATTCTGAAAAAAAAACAAAAACAAAAAAACCCTTGTCATAACTTCACAAAGATTATACCTTAGAACTTTGAAAATATTATGAGATATTTAATATGCTCTGTATTTTGTTTTATGCTAACAAATCTCTGATTTAATTTGTAGTAAAAAAGTAACATGTATATCAAAATGCTAATCTAATTTTAAGGTACCCGGTAAATATTAGAAAAATGATCAAGAACATGTACTTACCAGTCCCTTTATCTCATTCTTAAACTATTTCACCATTAAGGAATATATGAGAACAAGAAATGTTGGTAGGATAGTGACTGCTCGACTACTCGGTGCTTGATAGTAAAACAACAGCCATGATAATGAAGAATTTGCTTAGCTCAAAAAGGGTCATAATTCTCTCAAATGCATGTAAGAGTTATGGGCCTTAGATAGTGACCTCCTATTATGCTCTTAAATAAGTTTATCAAGATTCAACTCATTCCATTCAGTAGCTTTAGAGATTCTAACTTCAGGCATCAAAAATTATTTTCACAATCACTCTTCGTGCAGGACAAGTAGCTACTAAATCCAATGTGCAGGCAACATTTTTCTACTCATCCTGCATCAAATTTTCTTAAATTCTACTTGTAATTATGAGCAGACAAGTGGAATTTCGATCTCTAAACTTGCATGCTAACACTTAACCACATTGTGATGCTAATGCCTGGTTGAGTACAAAAACTCTCCATATTCTTTGAATAGTCAAGCTAAAAACAATCATTACAGTAGTTCACATAAGACAATATTAAACAGGAATCTACCTTCAAAATAACATTGATCCTTGCCGTATCCTCCAATATCATTAGGATTGAGAAGTCCTCGTTTAACTCGCACACAATGACGCCAGCGCCACTCCGGATTCTCAACATATTTAGCTAGGTGTTCAAATAACTGCTTGAAAGTCATTTCTGTAGCTTTACATGCAATATCTGTAAATGTGAGAGACAGGAATTGCAATCTTTAACTTAGGCAAACTATCATACAAATATACTTGTTACGGTTATTTAGAAATTCTAAAATGAACTGGCTGTATTGAAGAAATTAAAACTGAATGAACACACACAAACCTTTATATTACACAATTACTGGCAGACACAACAGTACAATTGTTACTGTATCATTCCAAGACATATTAACAAAACCAGTACATGTATATCAATATCTATCACATGAATCCAACTATTATGCCCATTCCCCATGACAAATATGGGTATGTTTTTTTGTAAATTACAAGAACTAATACATTTGGTAAATAAAAGAAAAAACAAATGTTCGCAGAAAAGTCACACAACATCACCTTAAAGGTCCTTAATGCAGTAACACTAGATTAATGCCTATTAAAATTCAATAGGAATTAACCCATTACTGCAGAAAGGTGAAGACAAGATCATTACAAATTAACAAAAGAAGCATACTTAAAACTACATGTTTTAAGAATTTCTTGTCCAAAATCTGTACAAATGTATTTTAACAAATCAATCTTTAATCAATTAAAAAAGAAGTAGACTTACAGTATAATAATGCAGGACCCCATAGATATCTACAATGAGCGTTTAATATAGTATTCACTGCGGCAAGACCTTCTTCTGTGCGTAGTTGTTCTAAACCTGATAGCCCTCGTATACCAAATCTAGTACGTTCAGCAAACCAGGGCTGCAAACCATCATTATATGAACGAAACTAAACATCACAAGTCAAGGATTAATCATCAACTTATTCGAGAAATTTCAAAGAATTTTAATCATTTTCGTTTTTTATATGATATGCATTAATGATAAATAGCATTAAAGTTCTGAAAATACCATCACATGATTCTTTTACTTAAGATTTTAATCAAGTAACATCTGAAAATTGTTATTTTGATCAGTACAGATATAGCTCTATGACTGTGACAAATAGACTTTTAAAAAGTTCTGAACTGGAAAAACTTCATCATATACAGAAGAAATGGGACTCCTAAAAAAATTTCATCATCTAGATCGTATTATCTTTTGTTTTGTAGAGCAGAAGTAACAGTTTATCAATTTCTACATTATCTAATGAACCAAACTAGGATGTATTTCTTCTTATATAATCTGTAAATCTGGGAGTGGTGACCTGGTGGTTTTAAGGTTTTTGCCACTCAACCAATGAATGACAGGTTCAAGCTCTATTGATGTCATTACCATACCTCCTTGCCTGATATAACATAAGCACTTGTTAGTTCCAACATGCAGACTCAAAAGCTATTCAAATAAGCAACACACTTTCTTCACAAACAAGCTTGACTAAAAAATGTTTAAACTAAATAATCCATTCAAAATTTATATAGAATGAAAAAGGATACAAAATGCGTGCCTATCTCATGATCAGATAAACATCGTATCCCTCTCTCCCTAATAAAATGATTATCTGGTGAGTCTTTTATCCACATAGAATACTTCCTGGCCTCTGGACGGCGGTACTTCACATGAGGCCCCTGCCACATCATGCGACCACTACAATAGTAAAAGAATATATAATTATTATGGTAATTATGGCAAAATATAAACTTTTTAAATCTGCACACAATGTATTCATGCTGTATTCATTCTATTTTATTTTTTCACGTGATAAATGAACAATTAAAAGGTGTGAAAGTCGTTTAAATCAGACAAAGCAGTTCACGGGGACCAGACAATTAGGGTCGCTTGTAACATGACAGGGAGTCGTATAATTCAGACCATTTATAGAGGGAAATATGTTGGGTGGACTGAAACAAGGTCGGATAAGTCAGAGAGTCGTATAAACCAGGGGGTCGCTCAGGCAGTCTTGACTGTATTCATTTGGTATTCATTCTCTTATGGTCTTTAATCAAAAGAATCATAAGATTGTCTCTTAATAAAAATTTTCTTCTGTTCTTAACTTTTACTCTGCTGGAACTGAAAGTTACTAGTCTTTGCAACCAGTATAGAGCCATATTACAAATTCAAAGCAGGGCAAATCCATTACACAAATTCAGTAGGTAATTTAGGGTGAACCATATGTAAGCATGAAATATTCTCTAATGAAATATTCAATTGTTATCTTATGTGGTGAGTGCTCACTGTTCTGCTAAAATTTCATGAATGTTTACATGTAGCTAGCTTTCATGCAAATTTACAAACATCATCCATTCAATTATTTAAATATGTTAAAATATATGTAAAACTAGAACAAATTTTTGTAGGTATGTTATTTCTATTTTAGTGACAGATGGGCATATGATACCTTAAAACAGTTTAAAGGTCATTAACTCTTGTATATTTGTACATACCTGCAAGGAAGATCTGTACACCAAATTATTGCCATTTGACCGTCAAGATGATTTTCCTTCAGGTAATCCACAATAATATCAGTCGCTTCTTCTTTAGTAACTCTTTCTCCATACATTTCCCGATAATAATTCTCCGCATCTCCATATTTTTCTTTCACTGTTTTTAATATGTGCAAGGCCTCTCCAAGTAATTCAAATCTTATCTCTGACCGTGGTTTAGAATAAATTTCTTCAAGCTCTTCCTCCGTACCGCGATGTTGAAACTCTGGCGTTTTGCCAAGCGTGAGAAAACGTTTCTTCTGGTCTTCAAGATTCGTTGGACAGATTGCACTAGCAAAGGTGTCTTTATTGACAGTCTTTATGACACTGGCTGTGGTTCTAGCTTTACCACGCCAGTGTCGTACCTTTTTTGTCATGACGACCTGTACTTAAACATTTTTTTCTTCCACCACGTAACTAATGCCACACTGTAAGTACAAAACAAAATAAAATACATACATGTAACATGTTATTTTGTTATCATTCATTATCAAAACTACCATTCATCATCAAAACTAACATGTCATATACTTTCATTTAAAAAAATTCATTCACCACTTACCTTACCTTCAAAGTCAATTTACCAGAACGTTTAAAGAAAGAAACATGTTATTTTCCTTGACAATTTATCCTGCTTGTAGAAAAAACTATCAAATATCCAATCATAATAATGGACGTGTTTCCATTACGAAATTAAATACCCAAAATATTATATTTCAGCACTTTTTTTCAAACAATACATGTACTAACAACACTTTAAAAGCAAATAATCTAATCAGTGTTTATAAACAAAAGAGTTACCAAAGCATAAATTAAGTAACCTACTGTCCTAGGTATAGGGTGGTTGCTCAGTGTACATAAGCTATACGCTACCTGACATATTTATACAATGTGCACAATACAGGCTATTGATCCACATTGAATTTATAGGTAATTGGATTTAAAATTGCCAAAATTTCAAAAGAACTCACCTACCATTGATAAGAATAAATATTCCGTGCACAGTGTATTACAATTCAATCTTCAGTAAAGAAAAAAAAATTAAATAATCGTGGAACAGTTTTTTAAAAAAGAAAAATTTTCACACGTTTTCAAATTTCATCCTTTAATCTTTCACAGTACTTGACTACCTTATTTACACAATATCATAATAAATGTTGTAAATTTATTTTAGATAAACATTAAAATATCATTATAATATCATTTCAAAAGGGAATATCAATAAAATAAATATTCAACAAGTTAAATCAATTTTTTTTTTGAAAATGTTCAAAAATTACCGTGGCCCATTCAACTATCAGCAAACATATTCGTGGAACATTTCGATTTAAGTGGCCTCTCAGTTATTGATCATACATGAAGTATCAAATTGGCAAATATAATATATCAGCAAATATAAACTTGAGCTAAGTTACCAGATAAGCTTAGTACACAGAAGAAAATATTAGTTTACAGTCTCATAATATGTACGCACAGCAAGTGAAAATAATTTCAATCATAATATTTTTTTTCTTTTTTTTTTTACAATTTTAATTATTTTTTTAATCATAATAAAATTACCTTATATATTTTAAGTAATAAATGTTTAACTCCTACCCTGCTATATATCTTAAATGGACTTAATCTCACCTTTCATTATGGACATAGCCATTCATCATTTTTTCAGAAAAAAAAATCAAAATAAGTACTGACTGAATAGTAAACTGTGCTGACCATGATTAGATAGCACATTTGTCCCTGATCTTGGTCTGCACTGGTTGCATGAGTAAAATATGTTGCCCCCCAGCATACTGTAAATTAAATATCAAAAACTTAAACGTTTTTGTTTTTTTTTACTTTTATAAAACAAAATACATAGAGGATATTCAAGTTTTTTCTATAAATAAATGATTTATTTTCATCGAGTGGTATGAAAATAAATATTTCATGAGTGGCGGTAGCCATGAGTGAAATATGGTAATTTTCATGCCACAAGATGAAAATAAATCATTTATTTATAGAAAAAACTTGAATTTTCTGTTTATTATATACATTTTTCTTTTTTTGACATTAAAATTTGAAAGACTTTTCCTTAAATTTTGTGTACTGGCACAATTTAAAAGAAAGTAGTCCTGCAAGACACCAGTGAAAATACGGAAAATATGTTTCACTGCAGTGAAAAATAAATTTTTACAGTGAAAATACGGAAAATTAAAATACGCATTTTATTTCATCAATATTTCTCAATATTTCATTTATAAGTATATAATAAATATAACTATAACGATGTACTAGGACAAATGATACTAAAACAGAAAACTACTGCAGCATATGGAGGTCTCTGTTACATGTCATATTGTCAATACACAAATACTAAATCAATGACCTGATCCATTCTTATAATGAGCTCTACCAAGTCTTTGCAGTAATACATTGATTTTAACTTAAGAATTAAATACAGAATATCTGTCATCTCAGAGATTGCAATCTTATCATTGCCAAATTACAATTTTTTTAATTGCCAAATTACATTTTCTTAATTGCCATATTCTAATATTATCATTGCCAAATTACTATTTTACAATTGCCAAATTACAATTTTTCAATTGCCAAATTAAATCTTACCTTTGCCAAATTACAATTTTTCAATTGCCAAATTACAATCTCACCATTATGATTACCAAATTGCAATTCATTGCAATCAGAAAATGTTATGCTGCTATAAATTTAAGTACTGTCATTCGACGATTTAGCAATGATTTGGTGCATGTGCCCTTCACTCTTAAGGAAATGTACAAAACATATTTCTTTCATACCGGTATATTAGAATGATTATTTTTCAAAATTTAAAACAACAGTTTTGTATACAACTGGCAGCAAATATACAGCTTTATACTCTTTTAAAGTTAACATTTAAATGGGACCATTTGTCACTATAATATTATAGGCTACCCAACAAAGTAAAATTGAAACATAGAAATAATAATAATATTATTATTATCATAATCATTAGTAATACCATAATGGTAAATAATATTATAAAATACATGATATAAATGCTTGAAGCCATTCAAAAGTAAAATTATTTCTGAGCTGTTACAGGAAAAAACTAAATCTTCTGGAAGTATGTTAAAATGTTCACGGGAACCAAATCTTTTTTGTCAGTCCTGATTCCATTATGACCTGACAAATGAGTCCAAATTATTATATAAGTACAAATGTAAGCTAACATTAAGCACTGGCCTCATGCCAATTAGATTATGCTACGAGAATAATAAATTACAACTATAAACCTATATTTCCCCATAGATATTTGTTAAACTGAACTCATTGAAAACCAATAATGACAATCTATGAAGAAAAATAATCCAATACATAAAACATATCTTAAGAAAGATTACTTTTTTCTCTTTTGTATAAAAAAATCTTTGTATAAATAAAAGGCACAATTTGCAATAAAGTTTCCTCCTTCATGAATTATTTATGACGAGATTAGTTTTCTTGGCATTATGTCTATTTGAACGCAAATTATCTACGTGTTAAATACAATATAGTAGCAGAACAATATATTAATGATATTTCAGGATTTTTAAAAGGAATTGCTGATTATAAAAAAATATAAGAAATGTTTTACCATAACATTTAAGGAAAAAACTAATTGATTTTACATTGATTAATTATCAAATTTAATATTTTTATCAGATCTACTCAAGTTATTTCTTGCATGTAGTGCATAATGCGTAGCATTAATAAGGAGCTGATTTTAATCAAATTGTACTTTATCAACTTTCAATCCATAAAGAAAACATACGTCAAAATGATTTCGGTTCTAAAATTTATTGCATGTTAACCATCCTAAGGAAAATTAAAGCTAAAATTTTAGTTGAATGTAAAGATTTGAAATATTACGTACAAAAATTACTTTGATAGGAAATTTTCAAAAAGTCATTACAAGTGTTGAGAATATGTTTCAGCGAGAATTTGGGCAAGTGCCTTCGGCTTTATCTGAAATTTACAACCTTAATATTCTTTTTATTATTTATAGATAAAGACAAAATGCCCTGCAATAACTGACTGTATGAACATCATGTCTATTACATTTGCCTTCAATAAAGCTTTATTTGGCTGTCTGTAATTTAAGAAGAATATTCAAAACTTAAATCTCCATATTAAATACTGTTCTCCAACTGAGCCACATTGTAGAGCATAGTACATATATTTTCTCTCCTATTTTTATACCATGTTCAGATACTGCACTGAAATTTGTCGGAACATTTGTTGGAAATCAATAGGAAATCTGACAGGTATAGATTTTTTGTCAACCAGCCACTTTGTCATGCTTAATTTAAACAACAAATACCAAGAAGATCTACACATTTAATGTGATATATTTGTTTGTTTTTGTTGACCATTGATGTCAAACTCTTTTTGGGAGACTAACATATGTTCTTCAATTTAGTGATTCCAGAAGACTGTTTTCTAGCCTAGGTTTAGTTTCCAGTTATGGCACCTGTGTGGATTTAGCTGGATTAGGAGACAAACACTCTATCCCTATATATATATATGTGTGTACTTCACTTTTTAAGAAATTGGAGAAATATTGGGGTAAATTTTAGGGGACTGTATCGTTTATACGTTTAATGGGTATGATTGGTTTTTAGGTAAAAACCGGCTAGGAAATTCAATAACTGGTAATTGAGGTTAGTATTTGGACAAATTGAAAGCACCCAATGGTAATCATTTTGTACCTATTCTAAGTCTCTCGACCACTCAAAAATTGTTAATTTTCCATTTCAATTTATTTTTCTTTGATTTTTTTAATGTGGTTTCACTTTCTACATTGTATGTGTTATTTATTTGTAAGATTGCTATTAAGTTGAGATATTGTGCTATTTTGTGGATGGGCAGTATCTCTAAAGATTCTGTCCCAGAACTAAAGTATCTCAGAATCTAGCTTTGGCACGTCAATAAATCCTATTATTTTCACGGGAGGGCTTTTGTCCGCCTTGTCATTTTTGAATGGGAGGTCTTTTGTCCGAGAGGGCTTTTGGCCAACACTCGTACAACATTAGTACATCTAACAGATTTAACTCACTACTGTACAGTACAGATGTTTCAATACAATAGACCTATACTGGTGCCTCATATTTCCGTGGTACCCACAATTCTGTGATATTAGGCATAAACAGTCACAAGTGCTTCCTAGACCTCATGCACCTGCCAGGAGTTTTACTTTCACTATCTTATTGTACTTTTATCGGAATGCTACATAATTAATTTACGACTAAGAAAACTTATTATTTCATTCTGATAAAGAGCATCCATGTAGTAATTATTTCACCATTAAACTTTTAGTGTTCATAAAATTTAAGACAATTGTCTTTGTTAAACAACCAATGAGATATTTGATAAATGCCATAGAGAAAATACCCACTTTCAGTTCGGGCTAGGTAAAGATCGATGTACTTAAAGATTATTATTGGTACGTTTTGCTTTTGGAGCTGTTAAAATGTAATTGCCTTGGAAATATGAGAACACAACTTTACTCACTAGGCAGCAGATAGATGTTAATTGCCATGTTGTGTACATAATTGCTTACATGCAAACATTAAACTACACTGTGCTCATCTAAGTTCATGGTCCTTAACGCTTTGAAACAAGAAAGAAAACAACAAATGAAACATGGTATAAAAATTGTCATAAGCTGTTACATTTATCATGTAATTGACATGTCTTTGCTACAATATTAATCGCATTTTCCCGAATTGTATTATTTAATTTGATTTGATTGTCTTTGGACCGGGCGGTCAAGGATAACCTACGAAAGTGCAAGCACTTATTTCCAGTAGGGTCCTTACCTAAGCAGACTCTAGAGACAGCTATGAGATACAAGGGAATCCGGGAACTAGTCCCAAGCTCTTATTGAATAGATTTCTTGGTTCTTTTACATGCCCAGTGTATAGTACTGATACATGCGAGGATTACCTGGATTACTTACCAGTACACCTCTAGTTAGGTGGGAAACACTGAAAGTGTTTCTGAAAAATCCCAAGGGTGTTACCCAGGATCGAACCCTGAACCACAGGAGTGACAGTAAGTGGTCTAACCAACTGAGCTATCGCACCACCTAACCTTTGTTGTCTGTGTTAAACAGTTAAGTACCTCAGAAATATGAGGGAGAGAACCGTCAGGGAGGAAACGTCAGGGGAGGAACTGGTAAGGGAGAGAAAAGTCTGACTACCCTTATAAGGGACTGCTACCCCCACATTCCCGATTTTTGCCATGCTTATTTTCAGATTAACAACAAAATTCAAAATAACACTATGCTGTTATTCGGTTTCTTGACTAGGGTCCACTAAACACTGCTAAACTAGAAGTCAAATGAAAATATGCCATTACCGTGAAATAAATGATGAATTAGTGATGTTGAGTTTAGGGGTCTAAACGGAAAAGAGTCAACTCGGCCCTATACCAACTCGGCACGGGTCAACTCGGCACGGGTCAACTCGGCACGGGTCAACTCGGCCAACTTTACATAAATATATATAACGTATTAACTTTGCTTGGCATGTTGTTAAGGTAAATGAATAATAAGAAATATCTTATTATTATATAATTATAAATTGTACTTCTGCCGAAATAAAGTATAGTTAGAAAAAAAAAGTTAATTATCTGTCTTATATTTATAAACTCTCTCTGTCGATCTACGTAAATAACCGAGGTATATCAAGTGAAAAAGCAAGAGTTTCCCTTAGTTTCCCTTCGCTTACAAAAGAATGCAAATTTAGCTGTGTGTAAATCGCTAGTTTGGGGCGATTACATGTCCGATTTTAAAATTTGTTACACAAATTAAAAGCTGGTGATCTTAGCTTCCTCTCAGTATATATTTCAACACATTGTTTGACACTGAAGGTAAGACAATAATAACAATAAGTAGTGGTAACACAAACCTAAATATTAATTATTAAAAAGTGGGCCGAGTTGACCCGTGCCGAGTTGGAATAGGGCCGAGCTGACTCGGGGGCCGAGTACGTTTTAGGGCCGAGCTGACCCGGATTCGTCTAAACCAGGAGATTGCCCCCTTTTACATATTTCTATTTCAATGCAGATGAAGTGCAAACGCTCTCATAAATTCATACCTGGGCTACTGAGAATTTTTGCATTTAAATCACATTATTTAACTAGTTGAAAGATTTTATCAATAAAGTTTAAAAATCCGCCATTTGTAAATACCGCGCCGTCGCCAAGGTGTAATGGATAAACTCTGTCTATATTACGGATTTTTTACCTGTACAGTACGGGTTAGTACGGCAATTACCCTTTAAATATCGAACATTTGTTTCAGATAAATAAATAAATAAACAAGTAGAGATTTTGATGCTAAAGCATCAAGTCGCCGGATAGAAATATGATTGTATTATCATAAATAAAAGAAAATATCAGTTTAATGGTTCGAGTATAAAGAAAAGAGGAACAATAAGTTGAGTAATGTCTATTCATAAACACGTTTTCATTTACTTGCCACAATTTTATCTTTCTTGCTTAGAGTTTTATGCAATAAATTTATGTTGTGTTATAATAAAACATCACATTTAAAGCAAACTTGCTTAGCAATTTTGTCAAGAAACTGTTATCATTATTAAATAAGCAAGTATTGTTTGGCAATATTTACCCGAGACTCAATAATTTTCGGGAGCTGTTTCGTTTGCTTACATAACTTATTATGATTAATGTTAACGATTTTATTGTAAGTATAATTACATGTATAATTATATCAATTAATACTGCTCGATTGCCTAGTGGTAAGTATGACGAAGTTGTAACCTACATGTAGTAGGCGCAAGTTCGAATCTCGGACAAATCCTGTGTGTAGTTTTCATAAATTGATTTTTATAATATCTTTAACTTTATGAAACATAAGTTGATAAATCGTGTGTTTCATTTCTAGCACTTTTATATTTCATAATTTTGATAAACGGTCAAGTTTTGCAAAATACAAAAAGTATTATAAAAGAAAACATAAAAAATCACTTTATCGAACCTACAGTCTTCAATTTGAAACTAACTTAAAATCTAACACCTTGTCATCGAGGCTTGTAAAGCAAGTGATATGATTATAATTCTACTTGTAATTCTACTTTATACATATACCGTTGTACCATACATTTGAACTCCGTATGGTTTTCTTCAGCATCCGATAATTACCGACAAATTATTACCGATCATCGAATATTTGCAAAGTGACAATGAAAATATATATGCTTAATTATTGCATAAAACAATGCAATTCTACTGTAAAAGTGGTGTCTGCATAAAAAAAATATTCTTATGCACTATCAAAAAAATATATTATTTGGCTGAAATCAATATTCCTGTCGTTACATACGATAAAGTTAACGTTTAATTGACTTTCAGTGCGATAAACTATCAACACAAAGATGGTTTATTAGTTTTCTCTTTGTATCCAATACGATTCCGGCCCCTACTGTCATACCGAGATTTTTCATACAAAATTACTTTGATTTGCACTTTATCAGCTGCCAACCATTCACAAGTTACCTGTATGTCTGTCTTATCAGCCATTTGTTACTATTAATAGATTTTATAACACTAACATACAACGTGTAGTCACGTGATTCTGGGAGAAACTGTTTATAATAAATAAGATAAAAAAAATAGAATAGGTCTCATAAGATACAAACAACCAGATAATTTAAAAGTGTCATTTCAAATATCATGCATGATTTATCATAAAATAGCAACGCTTGACACTTTAAAAAAAGTAAAAGCATCCCTAAATTCAATGACTGGTCCATAGGGATACGTCGTTAATTCATTTTATAAAAATTGTAATGTTGCTTTTTACGATGTCAATATTTGAATATTTAATTTCATTGAGCAACGTTATTGCATGTTTGATTTTTTGAGATTACTGAAAACAATTGTAGTCTTTAATTGTTCAGTAATTATTATGCTTTTATTTACAGAAATTAATGCCTTCTCCTACCATAGGTATAATATTAAACTGTTACAAATATAGTCTCCCCACTTAGGAAAAACTGAATGTATGATTCTTGGTCCAAAGAAAAAACTTAAAAAGATTAATAAGTTCAATATTATTTGTAATGGTCACACTATTGAATCAACTAAGACAGTCAAATATCTTGGTTTGAAAATTGAAAATGTTCTGCCTGGAGAAGAAATTGTTAATACAGTTATATCTAATGTAAACACTAAGCTTAAATTTTTTGTACAGAAACAGTAAATGTCTATCTTTTACCTGTAGAAAACTGCTTTGTTCTGCTTTAATCCAATATCCTTTTGACTATTCTTGTTCGTCTTGGTACGAAAGTTTAAATAAAAGTCTGAAAAAGAAACTGCAAGTAGCTCAAAACAAAGTCATAAGGTTTATAAAAGATAACCATCCAAGAACTAGTTTAACTCCTTCTGATTTTACAGATGTTAACATGTTAAATATTGAAAATAGAGTAAAACAACTGAGACTTAATCATATGCATACATTTTTTTATAATAAGTGTCCAACTTATATGAAAACAAACTTTGTTCGGATGCCTGATATACACAATTACAACACTGGATCAAATAAGTTAAATTTTTCAATTCCTCATTATAATAAGACATGTAATGGCACTTTTTTTTCTATAATGGTATTAAAGATTGGAATAGTTTGCCAGATGGTGTAAATTGTATATCAAGTCCAACTTTATAAAACTTCTGTTAAAATTTGGGCTGCGCAACATCAAAGTGTTTTTATATTACTGAGTGGCGACATATGTACGCCAATCTTTATTATATTTTTAGTCATCTTATGTTTTCCTGTGCCTTATTTCTGTGATAATGCAAAACTACTGTGATAATATACATGTAGCATATAAGTGTTAAGATACGGATTCGGTGAGTATTTTTCCACCTTTTTTCTGTGATAATGCAAAACTACTGTGATAATAAGATTCTAAGATTAATTTGTAGATTATCTCATTGTCTATTTTTATTTGAGAAATGAATGTCTCTCTGGTTTCATCTTGTTTCCATCTATTTGGTTAACAGGACCCCGTTGGAAATAGCTTAATGGGCTATCCTTGTAACCATAGATCACTCTTAAACAAAACCATTGTATTGAAATTTTATTATTATTTTTTTTTTCTTTTAAAATCTAGATTAAACTATTTAGTTTTTATCTATCAGTAACTTTAAACAATATTATGTGCTAATTATAGTTCTGACTTGTTGTAGTCTTAATCTGAACTGTGATTTTTTTTTTAAATAATTTTATTCAATGCTTCATCTGATTTTAGTCATTAACTTAATTTATTTAATTTATTATTTATATGAAATGATATTTTAATTTGTTAAACTGTTATTTTATATATATGTATATCTAATTATGTAACTGTGATCTATGTTGTTGTAAAAATAAAATAAATAATTTCCTGGTATTAAGTACTTAAAAACGAAGATTGTTGCCACTCATATGAGGTTTTTTTGATGTTTAGTTGATGAAAACTTGATGTACACTAGAAAGAACATATACATGTTTATATTAACATGTATGTTGGTTTGTCTGTGGATTAGAAAGAACACTTCACTTAATCAACTATCAATAGTATTTCTTTCAAAAAGTGAAACATTAATATGTTCATTCAAAACATAACTTTGTCACAATGAAATGTAAAATAGATACGATGAATCAATGTTAATGTTCTAGTTTTTAGGATTCAGTGCAAATATCATTTGCATCAATGAACTATGAAAACCATTTTTGCATTTTATAATGTCTTTAAATATATTTAGTTTAAACATATTTTATTTCTCAGAATATATATACATGTTACAATTTACAAATTACAGAGAGCAATTCAAATATTCTTATAAAAACAGGATAAGAATGAAAGACAACATGTCTTATGAAATTCTTCTCCTTTTGATATGATTATTTTGGTGCGAATAGTCTCTGGTTTCGGGCGAGTCGACACTTAAGTGGGCTAATCATTATCATACGAATGGTAAATAAGACGAATCAGATATAGTGGTGTTGAACAATAAACAAGCGTCTGGGTGATATGTGAATCTGGTTTTATATATTCTCCTTAATTACTTATCTCACAAGAAATATAAAATCAATAAATGACGGATTATAAAGAAGAACAAACCCAGGAACTTGAGGCGTTAGAGTCAATTTATCCAGATGAGTTGAAAGGTAATTATAGCTAAATAAAGGAAATGTTGTAGTGAAATCGGACACGTAGTTTTTCGGATAATGTGAGGACGTTAATTAATTTCTTTAACTTTTATATATATTATTAAAATCTAAACACACGGTCTGCCCTGGTACAGTCCGCCCAGTCTCATCATCAGCACATAACTTTCATGGTCTGAAACATTGAAAACAGATACGAAATTAAGTACAGATAAATAATACTCTTTATAACAGTCAATGAATTTAAGATTTGAATTTACTAGCCCGAATTCCAGTTTTGAATATATTCTATTAGATATATTTAACTAAATTTTCTTAAAATTTTCACTGGTCCAAAGTAATTTTCACTGGCCACAGGCCACCGGTGCAGTGCTAAATTCAATGACTGATATAATAAAGATGTATGATTGGTATTAATTTGTCATTGTAATTCATCTTTTTTTAAAAATATGCTGGTATATAACTCTAAGTATACTCAGTGTGTCAGATTTTTCACCCCTTCCTTCTGTACTCCTTTAATATCTAGTTACACAAACATTTCAAACATTTATATTTCTATTCAATTACGTATTTCCCTTTTAAAACAAATGGAGTTCATACATGCAAGCCATCTACTCAATTATTAAGAAGAATTTCAAGAGCTTAGAGTTATAAGAAAGCAACATAGTATAGTAACTGGGATGCATGTGTACATGTATTCATTTCAACATCATTTATATACATGTACAACATTTATATGGAATTGACAGAGACTTTTATTGCAGTGATAGCTACATCACCATATGGTGCGTTTGAGTTGCATATTGTCTCCCAGAAGGAAGAGTATGGGGATGAGGATTCAGAAGAAGGTAAAAACTTAGATTTTAGAAACAGTGTATACCATATTAATTACTTTTTGAAAAAATGTGAATTTGATTAAAACATTGGCCTTAATTATAATAAATTGATTGTTTTTAATTACTTTTTTGAAGTGACTGAAGCTGTACATGGATGAATAAAAATGTGTTAATGTATTCTTTGATTTTTCTATTACAGCTTCTGTTACAATCAAATTTTCATACACAGAAAAATATCCAGATGAAGTTCCAATAATGGAAATCACCGATTCAGAAAACCTAGAGGATGATCAGCTGAATGAATTGTTAGATATGTTACATTCACAGGTAAAATATAGGAACAACTTTTTCATAATCATTTGCTATGTAAGGCTTGAGTAAAATACTTTAAATAAAAACTTTTGAAAAGCTCTTTAATCAAGATAATAGTTTTGTTTTTTCTGTGGTACCAATATAAAATTTAAAGATATAATATGCTAATCTTTGAGTAAAATATATATTTTGTATGGGAATCTCTGTTCCTTATTACAGGTCAAGTAAACCTGGTCTTTTGAAGACTTTTCTTAAAAATACTGCCAGTTTTTTAAATGACACTATATCCACACTTATAGTGTGTAGGATTTAATGCATAACATATCTACTATGCGTGAAGTCAAAACATGTTGATTTTATATTTACAAAGCGACAGTGTAGCAATTTTCAATATAAAATCTGAGCATGATATATCTTAAACAATACTGACAGCTGTAGAAAGAAATTCTCTCTTTGATTGTTTAGGCCAATGAGAATTTAGGTATGGCAATGGTTTTTACCCTGGTGTCAGCGATACAGGAGGAACTGACAACATTAATGGAACAGAGTAAACAGAGAAAAGTAGAAGCTGAGGAGAAAAAGAAACGAGCTGAGGAAGAATTAGAAAGGGTTGGTGTGATTTCTGTTGTTCAACATTGAGAGAAGATTTTTGATTCCTTGCTGAAAGAAATTTTATGCTTTTATGTGTACCTATTGTATGATTAGAAATACTGTGCACTTTCTCTTTCTTGGCTTATTTTTAGCTCACCTGTGGTGAGCTTTTGTGATCGCTTTTCGCCTGGCATCCCGCCATCCATAAAATTTTACTTTAAACGACATTTCCTCATAAACCGCTAAGCCAATTTCACCCAAACTTCACAGGAATGTTCCTTTGGTTGTCAACTTTAAGAATTGTTCAAAGAATTTAATACCAAGCAGAACTCTGGTTGCCATGGCAACCGAAAGAAAAAACTTAAAATAACTTCTTTTAGAAAACCGAAAGAGCTAGAGCTAAAATATTTGGCATGAAAAATCATCTAGTCAGTGTCTACTAAGTTTGTTCAAATAAATGCCCTGGGGTCAAAATGTGGCCCGCCCAGGTGGTCATTGATTTTCCTTATTTGTATATAGTAATAACTTAAAAAATCGTCTTTTAAAAAACCAAAATAGCTAGAGCTTAGATATTTAGCATGAAGCATGTTCTAATGAGTGTCTACCAAGTTTTCTCAAATAAAAGCCCTGCGGTCAAAATTGGCCCCGCCCAGGGGATTATTGATTTTCCTTTTATGTATATAGTAAAAACTTAAAAAATCTTCTTTTAAAAAACCCAAAGAGCTAGAGTTAAGATATTAAGCATGAACTATCTTGTAGTGAGTGTCTACCAAGTTCTTTGAAATAAAAGCCCTGGGGACGAAATTGGCCCTGCCCAGAGGGGGGGGTGGTCATTGTTTTTCCCTATATGTGTATAGTGAATGAGTAAAAACTTAAAAAATCTTCTTAGAGCTAGAGCTTAGATATTTATCATGAAACATCTTCAAATGAGTGTCTACCAAGTTTGTTCAAATAAAAGCCCCTGATTTAAAATTAGCCCGCCCCGGGGGCCTATATACAGGTGCGCGATTTCAGGGCCATCATTGCCCTCTTGTTTATGATGAACATGTCCTTTTATTAAATTAACCAAGTGTCCATTGTTTATGTGATAAATTTCTATATCAAAATGCTTAAAGAAATAAGCAAGCAGTAATAAAAGTCTAGACTGAACAGATGTGCTTACTGTCCTGGCTAGTCTAGATGGGACAGATGTGCTTATTGGCGTGGCTAGTCTAGACAGAACAGGTGTGCTTACTGTCCTGGCTTGTCTAGATGGGACAGAAGTGCTTATTGGCCTTGCTTGTCTAGATTGGACATATGTGCTTACTGTCTAGGCTAGTCTAGATGGGACAGATGTGCTTACTGTCCTTGCTAGTTTATACGGAACAGATGTGCTTACTGTCCTGGCTTGTCTAGATGGGACAGATGTGCTTACTGTCCTTGCTAGTTTATATGGAACAGATGTACTTACTGTCCTGGCTTGTCTAGATGGGACAGATGTGCTTACTGTCCTTGCTAGTTTAAACGGAACAGATGTGCTTACTGTCCTGGCTTGTCTAGATGGGACAGATGTGCTTACTGTTCTGGCTTGTCTAGATGGAACAGATGTGCTTACTGGCATGGCTAAACTAGATAGGATAGATGTATATACTGGCCTGGCTAGTCTAGATGGGACAAATGTGCTTACTGGCCTGGCTAGTCTAGATTGGACAGATGTCTTTATATTCTGATTCTTATGATTGATTTGGATGGCTATTGGATTTCATCGTCAATATCAAAATTGTTTACATACATTTCAGAAAAAGTTTGAAGGTACCAGAGTTACCATAGAGAATTTTCTTGCATGGAAGACAAAATTTGATGCAGAAATGGCAGAACTTAACAAAAATAGAAATGACAATGAAATTGCTAGATCCAAACTTACAGGTAATTATAAATGTGTTCCCATTTTTTACCAAATATCAACTGCACATCAGAATCATAGCTCAAATTGGTGGAATACTTGCCCTTGTATAGTGGCATATTTATGCCAACATTTAAACACTTGATTATCATGTTGAATAACATATTAACTAGTGAGTTTACATGTTAGTAATATAAGTAACAGATATTTACCTGATTAACTGGATAAGATATTTACCTAATTAACTGGATATCTTGTCCATTAAATGACAAATACATGTAAGTATCTAACTTACAAAATCGTTAGAACATACCTACAACTGCCAACACTAACCATTTAAATAAAAGATATTTAATTTATATTAATATATATGAAACTTCCATGTCAGTATCAGATAATTAATTATTTGTATAGCTAGTTGAATGATCAGTTGCTAGATTTTGCAGAAAACTTTAAACATATTCTTATAGCTTTTTTATATGCCAGAAAGAATTTCGGGCATTTTATTTTATACCTCCTGGCGTCCGTCTGTCCATCCGTTAGCAATTTGCTTTCCAGAGCATAACTTAAGTTCCATTCGGCCCTCAATATTCAAACTTCATAGAATGATTGTCCATACTGGGTAGAAGACCCCTATTGATTTTAGGGTCACAAGGTCAAAGGTCAAGGTCACTATTACCTTAAAACTGAAAACAGTTTCCCGAGCATAACTTAAGTTCAATTGGCTCACAGTTTTCAAACTTCATAGGATGATTGCCAATATTGGGTAGAAGACACCTATTGATACTTCATTTAATTCTCATGTCTTACAAATGCTTCATCTTTACTAAAAAAAAACAATTTTGGGCATATAATGCTCTGCCTATCAGTACTCTTGTTAATTATCTGACATATTAAGTAGTTATTGCAATTGCTTTAAAATTGCCAACAGTTTACAGGAAATGCAAGAGATATGAAGAAGCATTCTGCTGTATCGAGATTGTTATACTGACAATTTTCTTTTATTTATCTTACTACCTAGTGGCTGAGTGGTTAAGGTAGTTAACACCACTTGTCCCTCACCACTGTAGGTTTGAATCTCGACAAGGAATTTTTGGATTTTTTTCATGTGAGGAAGCTATCCAACAAGCTTATGAAACATGGATGGTTTTACTCAGGTGCCTGTTCGTGCACGGAATAATGCACAGAATGGCACCTGAGGTCTTCCTCCACCAGTAAAGCTGGCTCATCCAGTAAAGCTGGAAAGTCACCATATGACCTATACTGTTTGGGTGTGTGTAAAACCCAATAAAAAATGTTACAAACTAAATTATGCTTTACTAGAAAATGTTTATTTTTATTCTTGCACTGACAACTGACTGACTGGCTTCAACATCACCACATCTTAGTTTAATTATGCCCCCATTTCGAAGAAAAGGGGGTATATTGCTTTGCACTTGTCGGTCCGTCGGTCCGTCGGTCTGTCGGTCCGTCGGTCCGTCGGTCCGTAGACCAAATGGTTTCCGAGTGATAACTAAAGAACCCTTAGGCCTAGGAACTTCAAACTTGGTATGGTGATTGGTCATGACAAGTAGATGACCCCTATTGATTTTGGGGTCAAGGGGTCAAAGGTCAAGGTCACATTGACCTTGTAAGCAAAAACGGTTTCCGATCAATAACTAAAGAACCTTAAGGCCTAGGAACTTCAAACTTGGTATGGTGATTGGTCATGATCAGTAGATGACCCCTATTGATTTTGGGGTCAAGGGGTCAAAGATCAAGGTCACATTGACCTTGTAAGCAAAAACGGTTTCCGATCAATAACTAAAGAACCTTAAGGCCTAGGAACTTCAAACTTGGTATGGTGATTGGTCATGATCAGTAGATGACCCCTATTGATTTTGGGGTCAAGGGGTCAAAGGTCAAGGTCACATTGACCTTGTAAGCAAAAACGGTTTCCGATCAATAACTAAAGAACCTTAAGGCCTAAGGAACTTCAAACTTGGTATGGTGATTGGTCATGATCAGTAGATGACCCCTATTGATTTTGGGGTCAAGGGGTCAAAGATCAAGGTCACATTGACCTTGTAAGCAAAAACGGTTTCCGATCAATAACTAAAGAACCTTAAGGCCTAGGAACTTCAAACTTGGTATGGTGATTGGTCATGATCAGTAGATGACCCCTATTGATTTTGGGGTCAAGGGGTCAAAGGTCAAGGTCACATTGACCTTGTAAGCAAAAACGGTTTCCGATCAATAACTAAAGAACTTTAAGGCCTAGGAACTTCAAACTTGGTGTGGTGATTGGTCATGATCAGTAGATGACCCCTATTGATTTTGGGGTCAAGGGGTCAAAGGTCAAGGTCACATTGACCTCTTGGGTAAAAACGGTTTCTGATCAATAACAAAAGAACCCTTAGGCCTAGGAACTTCAAACTTGGTATGGTGATTGGTTATGACCAGCAGATGACCCCTATTGATTTTGGGGTTAAGGGGTCAAAGGTCAAGTTTACATTGACCTTGTAGGTAAAAATGCTTTCCAATCAATAACTTAAGAATCCTTAGGCCTAGGAACTTCAAACTTGGTATGGTGATTGGTCATGACCAGCAGATGACCTATTGATTTTGGGGTCAAGGGGTCAAAGGTCAAGGTCACATTGACCTTGTAGGTAAAAACATTTTCCGATCAATTAACTAAAAACGCTTAGGCCTAGGAACTTCAAACTTTGTATGATGATTGGTCGTGACCAGCAGATGACCCCTATTGAGTTTTGGGTCAAGGGGTCAAAGGTCAAGGTCACATTGACCTTGTAAGTAAAAACGGTTTCTGATCAATAACTTAAGAACGCTTAGGCCTAGGAACTTCAAACTTGGTATGGTGATTTGTCATGACCAGCAGATTACCCCTATTGATTTTGGGATCAAGGGGTCAAAGGTCAAGGTCACATTGACATTGTAAGTAAAAATGGTTTCTGATCAATAACTAAAGAACCCTTTGGCCTAGGAACTTCAAACTTGGCATGGTGATTGGTCATGAGCAGCAGATGACCCCTATTGATTTTGGGGTCAAAGGTCAAGGTCACATTGACCTTGTATGTTAAAAACGGTTTCTGATCAATTAACTAAAAACGCTTAGGCCTAGGAACTTCAAACTTTGTATGATGATTGGTCGTGACCAGCAGATGACCCCTATTGAGTTTTGGGTCAAGGGGTCAAAGGTTAAGGTCATGACCAGTAGATACTTGATAACCCTTATTAATTGTTTGATCACTGGGTCAGAAGTCATGCATAATAACCTTATCACATGACTAATTGGCTGCTGATAGGGGGCATACATGTTTTACAAACATATCTTGTTTAGAATGCCTTGGAGATAAAACAAGTCTAGAAAAACTGGCTTGAAATTTCCATGAATTTATTGTGCCCTGATGAAATTTTGTGCCTCACTTGAGAATAATGTTTATAATATGTGATATATTGTTTATTGTAGGGAAAGAGTTATTTTTACAAGATGCCTCAATGATGGAATCTGATATACAATTATTACAAGGTACGGTTTTGTAATGTTTGTTTCTAGGTAGACTTTATAAAATTTGACTTTTTAAATATTTATTACCAAACTTAAAGCAAATGGTTAAGGCTGGTCTTAGCTATTGTCTCTATAAATCATTGATGTTAGCATACCTAAGGGATGTTGAATGAATTTTTGCACTTGTGGTTTCTACCTGGGTTCATACTTGTGTGTTATAAAATCAAGGACCAAATGTTCCTGGAACCAATTTACTTGACAATTCTCAAGGCTGAGGAATAGGTTTGAACTAAGGCTTTCAGCATCACTTAGGATAGTAGCCTGACACATTGACCACAGGACCAAGCTACCTCTTACTGAAAAATGCATATTTGTGGCATACACACTACTTGTGACACATGCATTATTTGTGGCATACGCATTTCTTGTGTTGTGGCATACACACTTCTGGTGACAAAATATGCATTATTTGTGGCATACACATATCTTGTATTGTTGCATACACACTTGTGGTGACATAATATGCTTTATTTGTGGCATATGCATTTCTTGTGTTGTGGCATACACATAGCCTATATGATTATGAAGTGTTTAAATCTGTATTTCAGAAGGTGAATCTGTAGAAGTAGATGAGTCTTTATTTCAAGATATGGATGACCTTGACATTGGTGATGATGAACTTGCAGGTGTTGATGATTAGATGCAATAAATTATATTTTAAATAAAGAATTGTTTGTTTTTCTCCAGAACTACTGAAAGTACTAACTTTTAATTTTACATATGCCGATGGATCATAATTGAATGTCAACATCTAAAAAGATAAACTCTGGCAAAGATTTTGACTTAATTATAGATAGCTTTTTTCTGAACTTTTATAATTACTTCTGCAAGATCATGAATTTTAACTAGTAATTTTAAATCCTGACTTTGTATTATGCTATCAAGCACTGGAAATATTTGAACATCTAGCACGTAGCTTTTGATGGATACATAATGCTGTGAAGGCAAAATTCATAAAATTAGCGAAAATATATCTGTATTTTGTTAAACATGTTATGGACTAAATTGTGATTTCATGCTAATGTTCTTTTCTTGTTTCAACACTGTGTTCAGAAAAAAAGACTGCGTTTATCACTACCATCCATTAACAGGCACAATCAAACCAGCCAACAACATTTTAAATATATCTTATAATAAGTCTGTTGAATTCCTATGATGGATATTGGAGAGTCTGAGTTCAAATTCACAGTTTGCAAATGAAATAATCATAAAGTAAACATGATGTTTCATTTAACACAAACGCCCCTTTTCAAAATATGTGTTTAACAATATGATGAAATTTCCTGAAATTTGAAATTTTGATCTATCTGTGTATGTGACCAAAATTCGAGTATACTGTAATAAGTTAATTTGTTGGTGTCAGCGGTGCGTGTAAATATCATTGCATATTTGTTATAATCGGTGCCCTATGTGTTTTCAAGATATGATACAGTCTCATACAGAACATGGTGATTGCCTAATTAAACACTATTTTAGAAGAAGTTTTATCTACTTTATGGGGCTCTCTTAAATGTAATGTTATTGTGCCCCCACTTTAGTGGCGGGCATTTAGATTTACTCTTGTCCGTCCGTCCTTCCTTCAGTCCATTTGTTCTGTTTTGTGTCACACGTAACTCAAAAAGTATTTGACCTAGAGTCATGAAACTTAATAGGAATGTTGATCAGCATGTGTAGTTGTGCACCTGGGTAATTTCTTGTGGATTTATTTAGTATTTTTAGATTTATTGCCCTTGATTTAGTAAATATTTGCAATTTTCAACTTGTGTCACATGTAACTCTAAAAGTATTTGACATATAGTCATGAAACTTTACAGGAATATTGATCAGCATGTGTAGTTGTGCACCTGGGTATTTTTGTGTGGATTTATTTAGTATTTTTAGAGTTATTGCCCTCAGTTTGGATTTTTTTTGCAATTTTCAACTTGTGTCGCATGTAACTCAAAAAGGATTTGACATAGAGTCATTAAACCTTACGGAAAGGTTGCTCAGCATATGTAGTTGTGCACCTGGGGTTTCGCTTGTGGATTTATCCAGTATTTGTAGAGTTATTTCCCTTGTAAAAAAAGTAAAAACCCTTTCATTATGTTGTTACTTGTTCATTGAGTGCTTGAGTTAGAATCAACCAACTTTATAGGAATAATGGTTAACATCACTAAATTACAGGAATAGTGATCAACATCACTGTGAAGCTATGCACCTGGGACTTTGCATGTGGATTTTTTTAGTTTTGTTAGAGTTATTGCCCTTGACTTACAGTAGTACAAATTTGCAATTTTCAACTTGTTCATGCATAGGTCAAAAAGCATTTGTCTTGTAGGCCTGGAAGTTTACAAAAATGTTGGTCAGCATGTGTACTTATGCACCTTGGGGCTTGCTTGTGCATTTATTTAGTATTAAGTTCTTGCCCTTCATTTTTAATTTTCAACTTGTGGCACATGTTATCCAAAAAATATTTGACCTAGAGTCATAAGATTGACAGAACAGTGGCGTGTGGGGGCACCGTGTCCTAAGGACACATTTCTAGTTATACATTGATGAGTACAATACTGTAGAACATAGCTGTGAAAGTTATATTAGAGGAGGTTCTAGCCGAGTCCAATATAGGTTTTGCAGTCTTATACTCGTACAACAGAATCGGTACGGTATGCAGTAATATGTGTAGTAAACACCAGCAAAAAAAGAAGGAAAATACACAAAGACAATGGAAACATATTAAATTTAAAAAAAAACGCCTCCGTGGTTGAGGGGTTAAGTTGATGACTTCTAATCCAGTTACCTCTCTGGCGTGGGTTCGCTTTGGTAGTTTAGCACGGAGGAATGTAGTCTAGTACTGGTGTAACTCTCCGGGAACGATGGTTAGGAAACTACCCGCCTATATGACTGAAATACTGTTGGGAAAAGACGTAAAATGAAACAAACAAACAAAAAAACAACATCAAACAAACACGTTTTTGCATTCAGATATATGGCTAGATAAAGTGCAATATATATTTTGACTCGGAAAATGAAAACGATACTTTGTACACTATACATTTCATACGATTATTTCTATTGTAACAAATTAATAAGATTTGATCCAGTAATAGTTCATGTTTGATGTTGTACACATCCCGCTAATACATTGGTTACATTTTATAAAGTGTAAAATAATACAGTATTTCCACCCATTGACAATCGTGTCAGTCAAAATCTCCCAGCTATCTTTATCACCATCATTTTCATAAATAAATATTAGTTAATTCATAACGTGTAGGTACATAAGATATTATTAATGTGTATACTTAATCTGTTTGAAATAATATTTTTCATTTTCGGAGTAGAGGCTAGCTAGTATTCATTCATTTAAGATGAAGTATAACGAATTAAGTATATTGCTTGGCGAATTCGGGAAGTACCAGAAATATATCTATGGCCTGATTTGTGTACCTGGGATATATTTTGGGATGCAGACGCTAGCGGCAGTGTTTGTTTTAGCTACACCTAGCCACAGGTGAATGATATCATGTAATATTTACATTTGCTTAGTTTAAATATTGTCTCGGGACGATTGTGAATGAAGAAAGCTTCTGTCTAATTCGAACCTTTTTTGCTTTTGGAACTAAGCGGTACTGGTGTCATATAAGGAAACATGGTTGTCAGGGTTCGATCCCCACCATGCCACTTTCTTCCTTTAACTAGCATTAGTTTCTTTATGATATAATTTTATATTAATTTTAGATATATTGAAATGTGATACATTTTTTCACAGTTATCGATATTGTCTTTTAAAAAATAAGTTTCTTGTATGTAGTTACCTAATTTAACGTGTGTCACATTATTTCTATTTGGACTGCCTTTAAAAGATCTTTTCTGTAAAAAATAGATCTGTTATTCAGACTGAACTGACACGTAAAACATTTTTAGCAAAACGCAAAACTTACTGGTGTGAATGATGAATTATTTTTATAATTTGAACTGATATCTAAGTATGGTCGCGGACTTTCAAGTAAGAAAAAAAGTACAGTAAATATCAATCACATAGTACCCGAGTAACTAACATTTACAAAAGATACCCTGACGTTTTAACAACTTAGACAACTTGAAATGTCACTATCTATGATAACTCCGGCGTTCCATAGAAATTACAAAACAAAAACAACAAAAAACTACGGTTATAATAAAAAACAACATCTTATATACAAATGAAAATATTGAACAAAGCACAAGAGGTCCAGTTTTTTCCGATTAATTTAGCGGTAATACACTTTTTAAGGTAACTCATTAAAAGATAGCGGCAAAATCGGAATTGTGTATTGCGTCCTTTAATTGTTACAAATATAAAGTCATGTAAGCTTATTTTATGTGTGCGGATGCATTTAATACAGGTGACGATGAATGGCAATTATGTATACTTTCAAAGAATATAGCAAAAGCCAAAACGTTCACGTTGCCCTGCATTAACAAGATTTACTAATTATGTTATTACACGTATTTCTTACACTATAGTATGGTTATTACTGAATCGTATGTGTAGATATGTATCAATTCAGATTCTAGTGACAGTTTTTCGTTATTGTGAATTAAAAAAAAAACAACACCCAAAAGTTAGAAAATTTGGAAGAAATTTTACAGTAGAACATGAAGTATAACGAAATAAGTAAATTACTGGGAGAGTTCGGAAAGTACCAGAAGATTATTTATGTGGCAATATGCTTTGTTGGGATATTTAACGGCATGCAAAAGTTGGCTGCAGTGTTCACGTTAGCTACTCCTGAATACAGGTGAATGGTATTTTATGTCTGCAATTGATTGAATACTTATTTGTTTATTAAATTGTTAATGACAAATCACATCCCGAAGTACTAATGTGTTTGAATAATGTTTTTAAGTTTCCAAGATTGAAGCGCATGCTCAAAATCATAACTGAACATACTTATATGGTAGTTATAGGTTTTGTTAAGGGCTATTTGATTTTGTTACCAAACTAGTACATAATTTGTGTTTGTTAAATAATAGTTTCAAGATATGACCATTAGAATATGAAAACACTGTGATTCTACGGGCCTTGAAATTTTATAGTATTTAATTCGGTACTAATAGTTTTTAATTATGACCAAGAAGTAGTTTTATATTTTCAAAAGCATTTAACGTTTAGTGTGCATTTATAATTTCAAAAAAGTTACTCATTGGCCAATCGCCCGAACCATCTTTGCTTCTGTTACTTTTTGGCAATTTGTACCGTTATGATGATTAAGTATTTTGAATGAAAGTCAAAAGATTACTTTGTTTACATTTTGTGACTTTTATGGCAAATCATTTCATATATAGCGCTATTTTTTTCAGGCATGCGCTTAAACCATTGCTTAAACGCTATAAAAGTCATGTTTACCCTTTTTAAAGAAGAACAAATTTATTCATTTCTGAGGCACAAGGTTTGTAATGTCTTGGCTAGTAAACGCTGTAACGGAGAGGAAAAAAAGAATCTAATGAACTTGAGATTAATTTTACTGTTTGCCCATCAAACGTGCTCATCAATATAATGTCATTTATTACATGCTTTTCGATGGTTTATAGAAATATTTCAGTGAATTAAAACTGATAATTTCACTGTTTGAAACAGTGAAATTATCAATTTGATAATTTCACTGTTTTGAATTTAAGCCCCTTACGTTGTTTCAGTGAAATACCAG